AAGTGCCATTTCAGGTCCCCCCAGGGCCACCTGCACAGGGAGGGCCACCAGGAGGAAGCCCCCACATAGTGAGTGGAACCCTCCCTGATGGGACCTGACCACCACTAACAGGCTATTTGCCCAGATTTACCCACACATGTCCATAAACAATTGTGTCCTATATGGGGTGTGACCATCAAGGGGCCCTCTCAAAGTTCCTCCTGAAGCAGCTCCAACCGCTGTCCCAAGCCTCTCTTCACTGGTGTACAATCCTTTTCACAGGTCACATCTTATTCTCCTCGTTCCCGGAGGGGCTGCTGGACAGACCCTTGGGGGACAGATCAGTCCGAGCGCCCAGCATGCAGCTCCAGTCACTTGTAGCCCAGTAGCCATGCTTACTGACTTCATGCTCTTCCTGGCACCTGGCCCAGTGCTGGATGCCCATATTGCTGGCCGGGGCTTCCCATATGCCACAGGGTCACTTGGGAGGGGGGGTGTCAGGAGGCCTGTGCAGTGGCCCATGAGACGTGGTCAGTCCAATGTCTTCTGTCGTGACAAGGAGAAAAATTCTCAGCCCTGCCAGCAACAAATCTTGGGGTGGACACAAGAGTCTGTTCAGTTCAACCAGCTGTGGTGCTTGGACCCATTGTAGACATCAGATTCTTTGTAATATGTTCTCAGGTCCAAGAAAGACTCAGTTCTTTGTTCCATAAGCTAAAAAATCACCCAGTTATTTCTCACCCTCCTTCAGAGGCATTGAGGGAGCTCTGGTGGCTTAATGGTGAGGAACCACGCTATCAACACACAGTTCAAGTTCACCAGTTGCTCTGCCAGAGAAAGTGGGCAATCTCTTTCCATGTGATTTACTGCCTCTGAAAACCTGCTGGCAGGTGAGCTATGGTCCTGACTTGATGGTATGTAACAACAGCAAGGAGGCATTAACTGAACTGAGCAGGCCTTTGGTTCTGTGGAGGCTGCCCGTGATACTAGGTAACCTAACTGAATTGGCACTGTCTTGACTTTGCAGCTCAGAGTAGCCAGCAGAGAACATGTGACCTGCTGCCCACATGGCTGGTGACCTGCTTGTCGTTATGGGCTGCTGGATTCAAACCGCCTGCCTTTGGATTAGCAGTGAAATTCCTTACCACTAAGCCCCTTGGTGACTTGGAAGACTCCATCCTCCCCTGACACTATCTGCTGGCTTTGCGTCCATCCCAGGCCTCATCTCACTTCCATTTCCTGAGAGGCTGCAGGGCGAACCTGCATGAGCTGGTCTGGGCTCCTTGGGGCTGCAGTTAAGTTCAGAGCTCCAGGACCCAAAGGAGCTGGTGCTGCATCCAGCCCCACTGCTCACCTGCTGAACGAGTCTTAGTTCCCTCACCTGTAAAATAACAGTGGTGCCCTTTGGTGGTGAAAATAGTCCAGCTGCTAAGGAGAAGATTGGGGGTACAAGCCCACCAAAGGCGCCTTGGAAGAAAGGCCCAGTGAAAAATCAGCCACTGAGAACCGAGATGGAGCACAGCCCTGTTCGGCCACACAGAGCTGTCCACCAGGAGCTGGGCTCACTTCCACAGCAACTGCTCTCCCCTCCGTGACCCCATGACAGCCATGCCCATCTCCTGTGGGATGATGATGAGAAGAAGCTCTGTATGCCATTGTGGACAATGTCATTAGAGACAGTGCCTGACACAGCACAAGATCTCAGAGCATGGCAGGTGTGGCTGCACAGATGTGATTTTAGGAATCTGAGTGAGTCGTATTTGCCTATTAGTCGCCTGACCCTTGACCAAGTCAGAGTCAACAAGCTGGCAGCATCTGAGGACCATCCCACCTGCCTTTGTGGTGGCCCCAGGCGTGTCCTGGGAAAGGTCCCACTTGCCCACAGCTCAGGTACAGAAGGGAGAAGTTCTGGAAGTGAGAAGTTGGGGCCGATCTCCACCTACACCTTGAGGGACCAGTGGTGCCAGCGTGCAGTCCATGCTCAGTACATGCCCACTTAGTTGGCTCTCTGAAGGTTGCCCAGCAGGGTTATTAACCTCTTGCTCCCTGGTGCCATAAATTCCCAGAAGAGCAGTGACCCTAGCAGGAAGCACTGCTGGTCAACAAGCATGTTGTTGTTGAGTATCACTGAGTTGAGTACAATTCATAGCAACCTGGTGAACAGTCAGCTTGCCCTATCCTGTACTATCATCATCTCTGACATACTAGAGCTAAAGTCATTGTGTCAGTTAATCCATCTCATTGGGGGTGTGTATCTTCCTGTCCTTCACTGACCCTCCAACTTTCTAAGCATGATGTCCCTTTCCAAGGTTTAGCCTTGCTAGGTACATGTCCAAAGTATGGAAGATGAAGCTTTGCCATCTTTGCCTCCAAGGACACTCTGGTTGCACTTTCCTCAAGACTGGATGCAGGCAGAGAGAGCCAAGCAGAGGTGCCTATGGAGAGGGGAGGTTCCTGTGGGGAGGCAGGGGTGTAAGCAAAGTCACTGGCTGATGGCTGGTAGCAGCGAGGCAGGAGCATTGGGGGAAGGAAAGGCAAGGGCCAGAGGGAATTTTTGAGGCTTGGCATGAAACTTTGCCAGGACTATTAACATCTAATGCAAATAGGATGTTAAGTAAAATGCATAATGAAAGTGTAAATCTTAAATGACTCAAGATAGGAGGAATGAAAAAGTCGGCTTGCAAGACCATCTACAGAGCCTGCTGGTTCCTTAAAAAGAAGAATTTTATAGGTAGACTAATTTGCAAATGAAAAAGAGGGAAAAGGAAAAGACCAGTTATTTGTTTGGTTTTGCTAAAAGAGAACTATTAAAATTGAAAATACTGAGAAATTAAACCAAAGTTTAGATTCTTCTCTGCCTCTGTTCCCATAGGGGCAAAAATGAGCCCTCTACTATTTTGTTGCTGACTTAATGGCATGCAACTTAGCATTTTGCTGAAAAAAAAAATGGCACATGACCATCACTTGATTATAAATTGTGTTAATATGTGATATTTTCATTTTTTAATTTGTGGTTTAATTTTTCCAGATAAGTGTTCAATAAAATATTCTGTTCATTTTTACCATGAAATTTTTGTATCTTACAAAGATTCCCTAACAGTGACCTTTTCTGGGTAATGAAGGACTTTTCTGACATGCTGCTGACATTCAATGATGGGTCCCCACTCTGGAGGGAGTGTAGAACGTCAGCCAGGGAAGCCCTCTGCTGTCCACCTGTCTGCAGGCCTCTGTGGCAGCACCTTTTAGAGGCACTTGGATTGGGTCTCATTTTTTGGAGAGTCACCTCTCTGAACCATGGAATAAAGGAGCATTAAATAATGAGGGTGGTGGCCTGTCAAGGGTATCGCTGGTGGCTCAGTGAACTGAAAAATTAGCTGTTCAAACTCACCAGCTACTGTGCGGGAGAAAGATGTGACTGGCTGCTTCTGTAAAGACTAGAAATCCCGTGGGGCAGTCCTACCCTGTCTTGCAGGGTCACTATGAATTGGAATCAGCTTGACAACAGTGAGTCTGTTGTGTTTTTTATTTTTCCCTCCCCTGGTTAGGCTGTCAGGGGATCCCTGGGTGGTGCAAATGGTTAAGTGCTTGCCTCCTAACCAATAGACTGGTGGTTCATACTCACCTGCAAGTGCCTCAGAAGAAAGGCCTGGCAATCTGCATCACAGTTATTGAAAACCCTTTCAGGGAGATGTCTGGACTGTGGAGCATTGCTGAACTCTTAGTATTCCTGACTCAGCAGCATTCCCTTTCCTTTCAGCCCAGATGCCTCACAGCCAAAGCACAGCGTCTGCCAGCGGGCAATCTTCTTTCCATTCTCCCCTCCACAGCGTCATCATTTGCTCCCCTTTCTCTGACAGGGAAAGGTTCTAAGCAGTTCTCAGAAAGGTTTATTGGCTACATCACTAACCACAAACAGGATACAGAGAATACTGCCTAGTCTGATTCTCACTGACTTTAGAAAGAGGAAGGAAACTTGTGCATCTTGTTTTCTTTTGGCCTAAAGGGAGTTCTATTTGAGCACAGATTGCTTTGTCTTGTAGGAAAGAAGGAAGGGGCCACTAGGATGGTAGTTGGCCAACAAAGCCCTGCTGTTTTGGACAGAGGGCAACTGAGCCCAGAGCCCTGGTGGCTCTTGGTGTGCCCTCTGATGGCTATGCTGCTGCAGCGTTTCAGAGGTGTAGTGACTGTTGTTGTGGGGACTGTGGGTCCAATAGTCATCCCGTTGTTAAGGGAGACCAGCCCCTGCTGTCTGGGGGCTGCAGTGACTGGGCACCTGGGCCTGTCATCTGAACTATCACTTGATATCTTTTAAGAATCAGAATAAGCCAAAGGATTCCTCAGAAAAAGTAGAAATGATGGTAATCCTGATGTTGTTGATTGCCATCGAGTAGAGCATGACTCAGCGACCCTATGAACAAAAGGCCTGAGACTTTCTATAACTATCGACATTTATCAAAGTTCATACTTTCCAGAGGCATGTTGTTTAGTGATATCAGGGTCTATAAAACAAAATTAAAAAATAAAACACACAACAAAGCACATCCCACAAATGTATAGAACATGAAGGCTTTTTATATTTCAAAGTTTAGTCCTCTTCCACTGTAGACAATTGCAAATACCTGTTGGGTGGTCCCTGCAACCTCGATGAAGACTTACGCCATGGGAAGGGTTGCTAAGGAAAGCTAGTAGATAGTTCCCACAGACAGTTCTCAAGGTCGGTCCAGGGGCTAGCAGAGGGTCTCTGCTATGTCTCACATCACAGTCCCCTCCTCCCACCCCCATGACCTCCTTTCACAAATAGGAAATGGCCCAGCAAAGACAGCTCAAGAATTGGAGGTCAGCCTCAGCCTCACATGAAGGTAAAAGGAGAGTAAACACCACCGAAGAGAGAGAGCTCTGTTTCCCCGCCCCCCCTTTTTTATTTTTCCCCCAACAATGAGAGTTCCTGGGTTTAAAAAGTTAAGCTGGAAAGCTGGCTGAACAGTCACCACTGACTGGCTTTCAAAAGTTCTTCCACTGCTCTACGCCGACTTCCATCTGATTAAGGAAAACACTGCGTGGACCACGTACAGCAGAGTGGCTACATAGGAGAACACCTGGAATCAAGAGAAATGACTGTTGTTCTGGGGCTGCACTGCAGAAGGGAACACAAGGGCTGGCCACATTGTGCTGACCACTGAGCAGCCTGAGAACTCATATGGCCCTCAGAGAGGACAAACTCTGCACGTGTAGATGACCACAGCTTCCCAACACATCCTTTCTTCTAGGACTCAGATGTGGTCCCAGGGCTCCAGCATAGTCTACTGGGTGTGTTACAAGACCTGTCATTGCAAAACATCCACCATTGGCCATTCCATAACGATATGCTGGGGCCAGCAGATTCGAAATGAGGGCCCCGGTCTATTAAATGGAACCATGTAAGTGAGTGTCAAATATTCCCCACAGAATCCCTCTTTCCCCCACACCTGGCAGGCCACTGTCCACCAGCTGTGATCCCCACTGCATCAGCTATGAAAATGCAAACACATGGGTGTGCTGGCTTTGGTTAAGGTCTTGATGCTGTCCAAACAGCTACAGGGAGCTCTGGTGGCCTAGTGGTGAGAAGCTATTCAGCCAACTCGAAAGAATGTGGTTCGAATCCACCAGCTACTTTGTGTTAGAAAAATGGGCATTCTCCTCCCAGGTGATTTACTGCCTCTGAAAACCGGCTTCTGGGTCAGCGATGAGTTGGTACATAACAGTAAGAGTAATACATCACATCACATTACATCACATCACATCAAACATCCTCAGCTCTCTATCAGAGTCTATATTCCAGGAATCATAGCTTCACAGGCATGGGCAAAGGGACTCAGTCCCCATAGGAAGTGTCGAACAGGGAAGGGGAGTAGGATCTTCCCAGCTTTTGCTAAAATGAGTTTTTGGGAAGATCTTGTCAGCCATTCTGACACTGGGAGCAGAGGTCTGGGAAGGGTAGCCAACTGTCACTGTGGGACTCGCCAGGCTTACATTTGGAGTTGTCGCATGGGGCCCATCTAGCCCACTGCCCTATTCTGGATGGCTGGTCTCCCTCAAGGCTTGTCTGCTCCTGAGTTAAATATCTGCACCTGGTTCTGGGACCTTGGGGTGTGGGGTCAAGAGTTTCTAGTCCAGGCATAAAAGTTTATGGTGGTTACGCTTCTGTAACTCTTGAAAATGCCCGTAAACAGCAGGCCTCAGCGTGCCTGCCAGCTCTCTGTCCCCACAAAGAGCCTTTACCGGCCAGAGGTAGTAAGTAAACCAGGTTACTGAGTAACGAATTTCAGAGAATTCACCTGGAACTCCTAAGTATCCTATCTGAAAGAAACAGTCGTCCATGAGCGAGCAGCTCCCCAAAACGTGCTGCCAATAAAGTGTCTTGCCAGTCACATGGGCACCATCACTCTCTGGAGATTTCCAGACCCTATTACAACCCCTAGCAGAAGCTGTCTCAGCTGTGGTACCCCAACATTCCCTAGGAAACAAAGCCAAGAGTGCTTTTCCAAGTGAGGTCCAGATGTGAAACAGTGGGAACTTATGTGCTGGGGTGTGAATGAGCAGGTTTTATCTGCCACAACTCCTTTTGATACTTTGCTGCCATGATTACCCATCATGGTGAAGCTCCTCAGTCAGCTCCCACTAGTTTCAGGGCTCCTTTGGCACTGATGCCAGCAAAGGAGATGGGGAAGCTCAGCTTTTGAGCAGGGCCAGATAAGGGGACACAGAGAGGGGCAGGAGACAGGCTAGATGCATCCAAAGGCCTGGTGTGGACAGGATCTGGTGGTAAGTCTAGTAATAATGACTCCCACCTCAACTACTGATATGATTGCTATTCTGAATGGAATGGCATGACATTCCACGGGGCCCTGTCGCTATTTAACCTGCGAGGTTTCCACCCAATGTTCCCACCCACCAAGCATGTTCTGGTGCTTGTTCTGGCACTCCTGACTCCACATGAGCATGCTCACATTCATCCAACTCAATTAATAAAAATGTGGGAACATGATCAATGGTGGAATGGCTCACTAGATATTGGTACAGTCATACAGTGGAATTCCAGGATAATGGAGCTACAACTGCACCCAACGGCAAGGATTGTTCTCACTAACATAAGGCTCAGGAAAGGCCAGACAAAAGAGGAATGGGCACTGTAATTCTACTTGTATGAAGTTCAAAAGCAGGTGAGACCAAACTAGGTGGTAAGAGATAAGGACGGTGGTTCTTGAGCGTCAAGGGGGTGTAGAGGTGAAGCATGAGGAACTTCGAGTGCATGTTTCTGTCTTGTAATCTGGACACTGGCTATATTGATGGTGGTCGATGTATTTAATTTCTTTGTATGGAGGTTTCATTTTGGTAAAAAGTGAAAGATACACTATAAAGCCCAGCATTTCCCAACTGGGGATCTGTCCAGGGCCTGAGGCATTAATCCACACACTAAGGCTGCTCCAGATATTCAGGATCAAAACCCACTCCCTCGATCCACTCATTAGCTGTCCATAATCTCTCTCATTGCCACCAAGTCAGTTCCTGCTCACAGCTGGCCCTCCCATAGGCTTCCAGGGCTGTAAATCACATGGGAGGAGGATGCTCATCTTTCTCCTCAGGAGCAGCTCGTGGATTTGAACTACTAGAGATGCTGAGACTTTGGGTTTGCAGTGTAGCTCTCCATGGAGCACCCCTCCAAGGCTGTCCACAATATGGCCTGCTGACATCTGATAGAAGACAAGCCTTCCAGAAGTGGGGTCAGGAGGTGAAAGGGGAGGAAGTAAAAACATCTCACTGAGGGGGTGAATGACAGCCTTTCAGAGAAAGAGCAGTAGCCAGGACCCCATCTGTGTGCGTTCCACATGGTGACGTGCCAGCCGCCACACTGTGGGACACTGGGAAGCAGTGCCAGGAATCCCGAGGTGGCCATGTTTATGTAACTGGCGAGAAGGTTGCAAGCCTGGGGGGTGGGGAGGGGGCATGTGTCTTCCTTGGGGCTGAGGCCAGGCATGTGCACAAGGCCTCCGAGGAACTTTCTTAGTCCCTCCTTCTGGGAGCTAGATAATTTCCTGTCTAAAGCTGACCAGTACCGCCAGACTCTGCTCCACTATTTCCAGAAAAGAGGGTGATGTAGCTTTGGTGCAGTGGAAATTGGCACCTTGTGATGGATCACCACAATCAACTTTGGTACAGAACTTTTAGATAAATTTTCAGAAATCCAAAGTGGGCTATTTCTAATCTCTCTCTCTCTCTCTTATCTTTTCCTCTAATCTCTCTCTCTCTCTCTTCTCTTTTCCTCTGTTCTCTCTCTCTCTCTCCCCTCTCCCTTCTGTCCCTCTCCCCTTCCCCCTCTCCTCTCTCTCTCTCTCTCTCCTTCCCCCCTCCCTGGCACTCTCTCCTGTAAAGTGAGAAATACACTTTGTGAGACTGGCACAGTATAAGGAAGGGTCATGATGCTCTAGTTTCTTACTCTCGGCAACACTGGTCTGTTCCACTTTATTTCATGACAAAGAAGCCCAAGTCACACCCACTATGCTGACTTTACAACCTGCCCATACCTGCATGGTTGGAGAATGTCCCTTCAGAACCCAGAGACCTGTCTACAGCTCTCTTGCTGGCAGACCACACATAGTCTGTGACCATATTAGTTCTGCTGATGGAGTGAAGAGCTAGATGGATGAACAGTGCAGGGCATAGCACCACAATGTCCTTACTGTGAAGCCTGGGGGAAGTTGCTTAATCTCACTACAGCTCCTGAGGTATATGGGCAGGAATATCTTGCCAATACATGAGAAAATCAAGGCTCAGAAAGTGATTTATGAAGGAATTAGTGAAGCTGAGGCGTGAACTTCTCCATCCTCCCCTGTAACTTCTCAGAGCTGGCTAAGCAACATAGGAGCTAAACAAGGAGTTAAAGGCAGCAAACATCCATAGGGGGAGTGTGGACATTTGATTCTGAGCCCTTGTTGCAGCACTCTCTTCTCTTGATAGAAGACCCCAGGTTAGGAGACTTGAGCAGCCCCAACCAGTCTCTACTAGGGGTGAGGTGACAGAGCATGAGGCATGGCCTCTGGCTGATGTTACTGAAACTCGGGGTGAGTTATTCACATCCACCCTGAAATGGGCACCTAACACAGAGGGCTAGAAAGCTGGACTCTCAACTGTTGTCATCTGCTGCCATGCCTGCCCTGCATGAAGCTCTCTGGGCATGACTCCAGCCCAGGGCCAGCACAGGCAGTGAGCAGGAAAACATTCCTTCTCTTCTTCTGTCTCTTGTTTCTTTGGAAATGTGTGGAAGGCTGTGCTTCATAAGAGTTATGAACTTAAAGATAAATATGAAGGAGGTTGGCAGGCTTCAGTGCAGGGCCCCTCACAGGTGGGAGCTGTTTGCTAAGTCCAGGCATGGGTACTTACCACAGCAGAGATGTTTTCATGGTACTGCTTATAGGTGAAGCCGTCATGCATGATGATGGTGGCCCAGGCTTCCAGGACAGAGGCGCTGAGGTAAAACAGGGCAGCAACAGAGTGGTAGGCCGCATCCTGCAGGGCCAGAAAAGGCATCAAAGGTGGGATGAGCAGGCCCCACTAGGCCATCATGTGGGGCTGGTAGGAGCCCTTGGGGCACATTTGCCCCACCCAGCCTGGCCTAGCCTCTCTCTTGCCTTCAGCTGCCCCTTCCAGTCCCCACCCTGATGTCTCTAGGCCAACTTTAGCACTTCTACAGAAACAGTTAATAAGCCCTGTCCAGCCTAATTTTATGTCACTGGTTTTGAGGCCAGAGTAAAGAATTTGATGGAGAGGGAACACTGCTATCCTTGGAGGTTGATGAGCGAGGTTTGAGTAGGTGGAAAATATGTCTTGGATCTGAGGAGTGCCATATGTGATCAGAGTCCTGGCTCGGATGTGGCTGGGCAAGTGGCGGATGCAGGGCCAAAGGGGCCCATTCTTTTTCCATTGTTTAGTTGTGTTTGTTTTATTTTGTTTTCCGCCTCCTGGCACACTTAAAACAAACAACTAAAACAGGGTTTTCATTGTAGTTGTGATTTGGAGATGATTTTAGAAGTCAGAATCTGAGGGCTTTTGAGAGCGAGAGTCAGCCAGTGGTCCCCACCTTTCCTTGGTCAGTAAGTTGCCCATGCCCCATGCCTGCAGCTGTGGAGCTAGCTCAGACCGGGGTGTCCTCATAAGCGCAGAATGGGTCTACTCCACAGCATTGTTTTGTAGTTGTCATTTTAATGTAAAGATTTCACCAGGCCATGGAGTGAGCTGCTGGTTTCATGGTGGACTTTACCCTTTCCACGGGCCCTGAGCAGAATTTAGACAAAAAACAGTCCACAGGCCAGTCCCCAGCCCCCTCCAAATCTTTGACAAAGATGCTTTAAAAAGCAGGGGCTCAGGGCCTGGGCAGGTGTGATTGTGCCACCATGGAGCCAGGGCCAGTCCCCTGGAGCGTTCCATGAGGGTCTGGCTCTAATCTCCAGGGCCCTGTTCTCTCAAGATAACACTAGCCTTCCTGGATGGTGGGAGGTGCCAAGTGTAAGTGGTACTGGGGGAGGTGAGCATGCTGGTTGTGGTCAAGAAGACAGCCACGCAGGAAAAAGAAGAGCAGGTTTGGAAAGGACCAAGCAGGGAGCTAACATGGCCCCACACTGCTTGCAGTTCCTTTGCTGCAGGGAGCTCTGGGCACAGCTCTGAGCTGAAGGTTTAGGGCTGCTCAGCTTTGGAACACCGGCAATCTTACCTAGCCTGAGCAAAGCTAGCCTTCTGAGGGACAGAGTCCAGTGCTACAATCCTGCCCACACCCAATCAGCCCTGGGCTGGGACTCACCAGAGTGACCCAGGAAGTATCCCCACCGTGGGCGCCAATCATATACAGGACAAATAGGGTTGTGGTGGCCACGAAGCAGAACACAGACACGAACATCACCCAGCCCTGGACCATCGGGAGGGGCACCAGGGAGGAGGCGACTAGGATCCATACCAGGCCTCCGAAGACCTGTAGAGGGTGACAGGGGGTGAGTGCCAGGCCAGGGTGGCTCTAGGAGCTGCAGTGTCTCACTAGGGATGCAGAAAAATGAGAAGGAAGGAAAGCCAAGGGCAGTGGACATTTCCTGAACAAAACTTACACTTTCATCCCTCCCAAGGCCTTTGGCTGGATCTCCAACACCACTCTTCCCAATCCCTTGGAAAATACAGTTATCTATCGGAGCATTGAACCTGTTTGTATTGGTTCAGCTATGGCTGAAGCAGCAAAATCAGAACAGATTTGAATCAGTAAAATGTGAGCATGCTGGGATGATAATCAGACCAAGGGAAATGACAGGTGGAAGCCCTTGCATAGGAGACTCTGAAGCGGCTCCAATGGACCCTCCATAGAGCTCGAAGACCGTGGACATGCTCTCATCGCTGTGCTAACCATCCAGGTCTCTGAGTCAGTTTCCAGCTCTGTTTGTCAAGAGGTTCCATAGCCCCGTGACACAGCACCCCTGTTTTCTAGCAGGGAGAGCAAGTTTATCACAGGGTGCTGACCTACAATTTTTCCTGTTTTGGTCTCTCTTCTGGTATGCCCACATTTTACAAAGTCAAGTATGTCCTAGTTTCATTTCATCAGCCAACTGGGAAGAATTGATTTGAAGCTTGAGTATCTATGTATCCATCCATCCATCCATTACTTACCTATCTCAAGTTTTATATCACACTTATATATGCCAGGCATTTTACCAAGCAAATTACAAATACTCAGTTGACTGCTGTTATTACTTTTATTATTAAGTGAGGAAATGAGGCACCTGCATGGTGACTGACTTGCCATCCAATGGAAGGCTTCATGTCATCTGTAATTATCAGAATAATGGCTGTCCTTTATTCTTATATCCTTCAACTTTTTAAGTGGATAATTTTTTTAAGAACTAGTGATGACCAGATACTTTGATCTTTACTTGGCAACATAAATTAGCCTCACTATGTCCCTATCCAAAGATTGGGGAGCTTTGGTTGTGTTGTCTGTGGGGAGTTGGGCTGCCAATCCGAAGCACTGTTACCCTGGCCAGTGAGTCCACTGGCAGCTCTGAAGGGGAGAGGCAGGCAGCCTCCTCCCTGAAATTTACAGCCTCTGAGACCTGCTGGACAGTCAGTTCTGAGCTGGTTCTGACTCCAGTGAGTTTGAGTTCTGGGCATCTGTGAGCAACACTAGATTACTGGTCAGTTTGCACTTGACTATTAGCCCAGTCCCTGCCCAGAAAAAGACTGTGCCCAGGGTGAGTGAGCCGGTGGAGACAGTCTGCAGGCCTGTGGAGCTTGGTGTCCAGAGCATAGCAGCTCTGAGTTCCTGATGGGGATAATGTGGGTGGGGCCTTGCTCACTGAGACACCACTGTCCTCACAAGTGTCTTCTGTGGCTCTTGTCTGAAAGTTTCAGGAGACAACCACATTTGGGTGGAAAAGTAAGTGCTTATCAAAGACTTTCTCTGTAGATGAGGTTCAGATGGCCTGAAAACATGTGATGGGACCACTGGGACAGACTTTAAAAAACAGGAATGAAATCAGCAAAATAAAAATCGTGTGACTGCGATAGCCTAAGATGTGTGCATAGAGTCCAACCACAACTGCCTCTAGAGTTGTGCTGCTAACCCAGAGGAACATGGTTTGAATCCACCAGCTCGCTGCTCCTCAGGAAGAAGATAGACAATCTCCTCCTGTGTGACTTATACGTGTGAAAAGCTGCTGGAGGGTTGAGAGGGTTCTGACTCAATGGCACATAACCACCACCAGAAGGGCAGAGAGCTCTATGGCTGAGTTTACCAAGAAATGCTAATCAAAGAAGGTAGATTTATAGCAATTCAAATTCACCATGGCTCCGGGGGAGATAGAGGGACAGTCTCCTCCTGTGTGACTTACAGACTCCAAACCCCACTGAGGCGTGCATTATGAGCTGGTTCCAACTTGATGGCAATGATTTTTAGTTCACAGGGGCAATGACAAAGGGGCATGGACACCACTGGACAGGACCTGGGAGTAGGAAACACCAGTGCATGCCATGAGAAGAGGCCTGGGCGTGTGCATCAAATGGGCAGCAAGAACGACTTGGGATCCCTCTCCCCTAAGCATCATCTGCCTGGTTACCCCTGACCCACCAAGGGGATCGATCTAAATGGAGAGAAAATCCAACCTGAACTACACTATGGGGATGGTTCCAACTCACAGCGACCTTCAACCAGGCTTCTGAGGCTGCAGATCTCGAGACTGCCCATCTTGCTCCTTGGAGTGGCTGTTGGATATCAACTTCCTTCTAGTTAGTAGTGTAGCATTCTGCCAGATTCTGTGGCCAGAGTGCCTTAATCTAAATGTTGTTGCTGTGGTGTGCTATCAAGTCATACCTGACCCACGGCTGACCCTCCAGCAGACTTTCAGGGACAATAAGTAACATAAGAGGAGATTGCTCATCCTTCTCCTACAGAGCATCTGGGAGATGCAAACTATGGACCTTTGAGACTGCAGCACAGCTTCCTACCACTAGGTCACCAGAGCTCTCAATCTAAATGAGACTCCTCTTTATCTGCTCTTAAATGTTCTATACTACTCAGCGCAAATATAGTTCAAGAATGGCTGTGCAGTGCATTATAGAAAGGTGTTTCCTTACCATGGTGGTGTTGGTGGGAGAAAGTGTGCCTTGCTCACTGCATCGGGGACAGGGAAGATGTGTACCAGTGGCCATCAGAGTTATTTACTAGATGGCCTGGCTTGGCTAGAGCACTCAATTAAGCCAAGCCCCAAAAGAGGGGGTTGGGGTGCAACCAGGCCAGGAGAAGCCTGCACTTTTCTCTTCTGGAAAACACTCACTCACGTGGGATGCTTCAAGCTGCTCACGTCTCTACACCACCAGCCTGCATCCCCACTGCTGCCATCCAGCTGTGCTACAAACAGGGTCCTGGTCCATCTTCACCAGTTTCTCCAAAACCAACCCGCATCCCTACAGTCACGTGAATTTGAGTCCACTAGGACACATAAGAACACTATAAATAAGTCTGAATCCCTTACTTCTAGGACCAGAACCCACTGACCCCACCCCAAAGAGAATGGACCCCACACTCAGGGCACCCTACCCACCAGCCCTCAGGATCTGCCCACCTTCCTAGAAGACCTGTCCAGCATGCCAACATCTCTGGAGTAGAGTGAAAAGAAGCAGACAGAAGTGGCAAGAGACCTGAGACATCATATTGGGTTGTTGTGGGCAGTGGGGAGAGAGGAGTTGGAGGGATAAGGGGAGGAAACAGAGCGGGATGCAGGGTGAGAGGAACAGGACTCCATGTCAAAGGCAAAGCAACAATGAATCTAACTGTGTAATGGGGCAAGATCTTTCATCAGTTCTTTTGGGTAGAACATTTGTCTCTCAGATATTGCTCTATAGCTAAGCATCCAAGTAAGAGAGACTAAGAAGAAGGATTGGCCATCCACTTCCAAAATAACAGGCTTTCAAAAACCCTAGGCATGGTAGAGCACACTTAGAGTATTGGTAAACACAGAGAGAAAGGAGCAGTTGCAAGCAGACACTAGTGACTGGAATGTGGAATGTAGGAAGCATGAATGTAGGGAAATTGGACATTGTTAAAGAATAAACATCAAATATTGACATACTGGGCATTGGCAAACTGAGATGGATTAGCTTGGGACATTTTGAATCAGATTTTTTAATACACTGGAAATGGAAATGAAAAGGTGAGGAAAAATGTGGTCATGTTCATAGTCAAAAGGGCTGTTTCTAAAACCATCCAAAACCTATACTTGGACTAGGAGGCAGATGTCAGAACAGAGCAAGGGAAAACAGCAAAACAGTTCAAAATCAGGAAAGGAATGTGTCAGGGATGCATTCTTTCTCTATACCTTTTAAAATTCTATGCAGAACAGATTATTTGGGAGGCTGGGCTTTATGAGGAGGAATGTGGCATCAGGATTGGAGGAAGGCTCATCAAGAACTTGTATTATGCAGATGACACAACCTTGCTTGCTGAAACTGAGTATGTGAAACATCTTCTGCAGAATGTCAAGGACTGCAGTCATCAATATGGATTAAAGCTCAATATCAAGAAAACAATGATTCTCACCACTGGGCCAACTGATAGCACCACGTAGATGGAGAAGAGATTGAGATTGTTAACAATTTCAGCATGCTCAGGTCCACAATCAACACTCTTAGAACCAGCAGCCAGGAATTCAAAAGGCAAACTGGATTAGGAAAGTATGCTGTTGGGGACCTTTCCAGAGTGTTGAAGAGTAAAGATGTCAGTCTAGAGACTAAGGCATGCCTGATCCAGGCCATGGTCTTTGCAATTACATCAGAAAGCTGGACATTGACTAAGGATTACAGAAGAATTGATGCCTTTCAGTTGTGGTGCTGGAGAAGAGTACTGAGCATACCATGAGTTGTAAAGAGAACAAACAGGTCTATCTTGGAGAGGGTGAACCCAAGTTGCTCCCTAGAGGCAAGAATTTTGAAGCTCCATCTCACATATTTGGGCATGTTGCCAGGAGGGACCGGTCCTTGGAGAAGGACATCAAGATTGGAGGAGTGGAGGGACAGCGCAGGCGACTGGGGTAGTAAGGGCAGGTATTTCAGGGACAGTGAGACTGGCTCAGGTTAGGACAGGATTCAGAACTATTGCGCATAGTGTCGCTATGAGTCACAAGCAATTTGACAACACATAACAACAACATGTATTTACTAAGATGTGCCTGGTTCAGGCCATGGTCTTTCCCCTCACTTGCTGTGCATCAAAGAACTAGACAATGAATAAGGATGACAGAAAAAGAACTGATGCCTCTGAACTGTGGTGTTGGAGAAGGATTCTAAATATCCCAATGACAAAGAACAAACATATACATCTTGGAGAAAGTGCAGCCAGAATGCACCTTGGAGGTAAGGCTGGTGAAGCTTCATTTCACATATTTTGGGCATGTTGCTAGGAAAGATTATTCCTTGGAGAGGGACATCATGCTTGGA